GGTTTAGGGTTTAGTGCTTAGGGTTACAAGTTTAGGGTCTCCTGGAACCTCAACACGCATTGCCTTTATCACTACGTCCCATGGTCCTTCAAGCACGCTTTAAAGGGATCCTTACAGGGTTCTATAAGGGATCCATGATAGGGTTCTAGATTAGGAGCCTTAATAATCAGAACAGGGTTTTGGGCCGCATGATACTACACTTATAATAAGGAACCCCCAAAATAATGTTGGTAATTATTTAGGCACCGACATAACCGCTTGAGCATGCCCCATCTGCCCTGAACTCCAGGTCCTTCACCTTCAGCCCCGCAGCCTTTGACGACTTCATCCGCAACAACCACCGACACCTTGAAATGCCCCTGAAACAATACCACTCCTAACAAAATATCAGGCTCCGACTGATCAGCATACAAAAAATCCGGGATAGTTCATTGAGTCTCATCCAACCCTAGAAAGTCTAGAAAGGCGCGCTATATAATTGTAGTACTCGTACGTGTACTAGCAGTAGGAGGAGAGTAGTAGTCGTCGTGGGTAGCAGCAGAAGTAGTAGTAGCCGCCGTAGTAGTATTTGTCGTAGTCGTCGTCGTCGTAATAGTAGTCGTAGTAGTCTTACCTCCCTCATGCGGGGGACCTGAAAAGTGGATCCAGGCTTGGCGCCCTCAGGAATCTGCACGTGGATCTCCATGGCGAGTTGAGCGATTCAGATGGGTTTCTGAGGTAGGAAAGCCAATAACCCTAAACCCTAAATCCTAAACCCCAAACCCTAAACCCTAGATCCTAAACCCTAAATCCTAAACCCTAAACCCTAAAAAAGCAAGCTGCAGGGATAGTAGGTCCTCTGTTGTTGGGGATGCTTGGAGTGCAGAAGCTTAGGGTTTCGGGCTTGGGGTTGAGGGTTGAGGGTTTGGGGTTTAGGGCTTAGGGTTTAGGGTTTAGGGTTTAGGGTTTAGGGTTTAGGGTTTAGGGTTTAGGGTTTAGGGTTTTCAGGCATGTGTTTACATGTAGCTTCGAGCCGCAAGCTGCTAGCGATTAGGGTCCGCAAAACTTTAGGGATCATGGGCTCACTAAGATTGCGAAACCTTCAATCATGCACCCTGGAACATCCAAATTTGGCACTCTTCGGACTCTGAAGAATCCGCGTCCGGGTGTTCACAGAGATTTGTCAACTCAATTGCATATCTCCGAAACAGATTAAGACCTGACCATAAATTGAACCCAATGAAGGACCCTGAGAAGGTTTACGGTAGCCGCATGCTTGAAGGCGTTTCTGGGCTCTGTGCTTGTGACTGATGTATGGGGACATGGTCAGTGGCAGGCGGAACAGCTAAGCTGTGATTGGAACTTTGCGCGCGGCAAACCCTAGACTCATACTCTAAACTCCTGAACCGCCCTACGCCCAACAACGTTGAATGGACTGGGCCTTTAACCGAACCAGACAAAATGCTCACATGAATGGGAGGACAAACGCATGCCGTCGATGGATCGTTGAAGCAGGCGACAGTGGGAGAATACCTTCACAAAGGGAAACCCTAAATCCTACTTGGAGGATCATGGGACTTAGTACTGTAAGTAAGGCTTTTTGTCCCCTAATTGGGGTTAAAAAGTACAGTTACCTGAGTTATAACCCCTAGTTACTAAGTCCCATGATCCTTTAAGTAACTCAAAACCCTAAGCTGCGAGGAGGGCCGAGGGTCTGGGTCGAAGCGAATTGCTTCGGTGTCAATAGGACCCCACAAAAACGCACATAAGCAAAAATTGGGATAGGGGTATCCCAGACAAATCCCGTTATGCTTGTGTCCTTATTGGGTTCCTAAGTACGGTTTAGGGTTTAGGGTTTAGGGCCTTAACCCTAAAAACTAAACCCTAGACCCTTACATCGGACAATCCTCGGTCTGCACGGCCGCGTCGACCAATGCCTCGGCTTGAACTTCATTAAAGGAAACTACAGGTGAGGAGTTTAGGGTTTAGGGTTAGTCATAGCGGCCCATATCAGTGCTGCT